ATCGGAAAAAAAGTCACAGAAATAAAGTCCCAGAAAAAAAGTCACAAAAATCTTTCTAGAAATATTTTTATTAATTTGTTAAGAATTGTAAAATGTTGTATGTTTATTGTTGTGGGTTGTATTTTTTGATAGCATAAATTATTTATAGACGTTAAAAGCATTATGATTTATAACAATTGTAAGTAAAAATACTCTAAGATAATTAACACAACAATCTCAACTTTTGTTACGTATTTAGTTAAATACGCGGTAGAAAAGTTAATTAAAAGAAATTTAGGCACATTTTGCCGTAGGCTATTCTCTGGTCGGCCTCTTCTCAGTAGGCATTGTCCGAACATATTTTGTGTTGTTGACGTTATGCGTCAATGACAGCCTTTGAACCTTGTCGGCTTTCTGTTTTGATCCTAAGTTTTGTTATGTAATGAGCGTGACACATGTGGGCAGTAAAGGTGGTTGAACTAAATATAACTATTGTTGCCATGAGTTGAGGACAGCAAGCCAGATGAACTTACCATTTCACAGTAATTTAATGGTATTTAAAAAAAAACACGATGAAAACCGTGGACTTTGGAGCATTCTATTAAATGCTACTAATCTTAAGTTTAAAATAATTAAATCTACATACTTCATAATAAATATTTTTAGATGAATTATAAAAATTCCTATGCGTATACAGCCTACACACATTACATTACATTTAATTAATCCTAAGTTAATTTGCACTCTCTAAATATTTAATACATAAAAGTATTATCAAATATCATGCAAATATATATTTGTGACTTTTTTTCCTGTGACTTTTTTTCCTGTGACTTTTTTTCTGTGTTTTTTTTTCTGTGACTTTTTTTTCCTACAATCGGCTATGGGGAAAGGAATGTAGGCCTATAGTTATTGGTTTAATATGAATTCGTAAGTGGGTTTATAATGAATGGTAACACTTAATAGGAGGTAATTGATCTGTGGGGGCTAATGACCTACATCTAGATCCGGGTAAAACGTGTCACTTTTAGGTTTCATTTAATTTATATTTATATGCTTACTTATGGCATTCTTGGGACTTTACGTTAGGTTTTAATATTATTGGCGATTCTATACATATTATTTAACATTTTATAGGTACTGGTGGCTTTTATTGTTGTAATAGATATATATTATGTTGTATGTGTGCAATGTTCTTTTACACCTTCTTATATATTTTCTTCCATTGTTTCTTCCTGTTTACGTCCATTTTACTTTTGCAGTTGTTAGACATGATGGTGTAAGAAGCTATATACTCTCGCGTAATACTATTCCGATATTTTATTTCTGTATTTATAAATTCATCATTTAGTGCTGATATGACTCTGATGCTTATTATATTTTGTAATTAACCGTGTTATTGAGGAATGGAAGGTGATGTGTACGTAAATCTATAGAATGATGTAAAAGCATACGCGTAGCTGTTTTGAGCGTAGTTTTATGCAATTTTTCTTAAAACATTTTGTCCACAAATAAACATGGGCGTTAACATTTAAAATTTAGACATGGATATAAATGGATGTAACAAAGCCTAGATGATAACGGTTAGTTACTTAAATAAAATAGGCGATCAAAGATTAGAAACGAAAATCACGTGACATTTGTAGATCGATAATAGGCTATTATTTTTACGTATGAATGCAAGCTCTATTTAACCATTTATGTAAACACGTTTTTATGTTCTGTCACGATATATCATGAATCCTTTTTGTGTCACTGAAAACTTCAGCTTTACACCTCCATCTGAGATTCACTTAGCAAGCACCTAATGTTTTCTGGCTTCAGGCTGCATGCAACACGATGTAAGTCAAAGCGGATCATGCAGTTCAGTTTGTTTTGTCAAGCCAGCCCGTTGTTTGCCTACAATACTTGTAAAGTATCCTGATTGTGACTTCAGTCCTACTGTAGGGATCTTGTCGTGTTAAGCTGTTGAGATGGGAGTTATATTCTTCTTGAAAAATCGGTTATCCTCAGTATATACAGCGTTTGGTTGCGCGTAATCAGAATTACTTTTTAAAAATGATTGCGGCTTACGAAACAATACACAAGCGAATACTTTTTCACCTATACCAGATTAATAAATACACAATTCACAGTACACTTTACAGAATATTTTTTCACAGAGGCCAGTACAGGGCCTGGCGGGACGGCTAGTGTATATATATATATATATATATATATATATATATATATATATATATATATATATATATATATATATATATATATATATATATATATATATATATATATATATATATATATATACATATACATATATACATAAATAGAATATATAAATAGAGAGAGAGAGAGTCGATGTAGTGTTTAATAACTAGAAGCATTTTTTATAAATCATACGACTTTTTGAAACATGTAATTATTGTAATCTATTTATCAGAAACAGAAGAAAAAAAAGCATCTACTTTCAATCTTTCATGCTTGTTAAAGTTAATAACCGAAAATTTGACACAACCCTCACTCCGCCTTAAGCAATAGGCCTTTATAACCGGTATTGCCCAGGTTTAGGAAAAATATTACTTTTCCAATTAAATGTCTTTATGCAAATAAGGACGTTTAAGAAAATAACACTTAACCCTAAACCTAAAGCTAACTCTAAACTTAACCCTAACCACAACCAATACCAAAACGCAAACATAAACACAAACTTAAAAGAAACGTAAACGGTAAAATAAACGCAAACGTAGAACTAGAAAAAAAAACCAACCCCCCCCCCCCCAGAAAAAGTCTGCTTCCCCCCAGACACACACACATAGTTATATATATATATATATATACTAGGCATACTGCCTAGCTTCGCTTAGGTTTTCAAAAACATTTGATAATTTGAATACTAATTATTTGGTGATGGATGAGGTGTGGAGTGCTTAAATTTAAACAGTAATGCTAATTTTAGAGAAGATGTTGTATGTTGTTCAACAATCGCTTTCAGAGCAAAAATTAGAAAGTACGCAATTTATAACTAAAATGGAATTAGAACAGTATATCTCATAATTTATATTACATTGACTTTAAAAATTAATTTTTTATTTAATTATGATACGTAGCTTAATTAACAACTTATTAGGTTTAAAACGAATGTTATACTTTGTCGTTTTCTGTTTCTGTTTAAAATAGTATACAATTATTTGAAAAATAATTATTAAAAAGGTTACCTCCCTTGAAAATGGATCGAATGACGTATTTTTTGATTTACTTTTTAAAAAAACAGTTACTATAGTTATATTAAAAAATTGATATATGAACATATTTAACGACTACAATGGATTTTTCCGACGTGAATAACGTTGTTTTTTTTGTTACCTTCCAGGGTCGGTCTACGACCTCAAATAATATTAAGGGGATCGTTCGTCAATTTATTTATATATATCTCATATAAGGAGAATTTCACTCGCGGTCATCTTTTAGCCCTGCTCGAGGGCTTTGAGTCTGACCAACAGTTTTTCCATACGGCCTAGTCAGCTATAGAAGTGTATGCAAAACATTAGCTTGATGTACAGAGGTTAAGTACCCTAAAACTTGTGTTGGAAATTCCCTGTTTTTCCCATAAAATACAAAGATTATATAGGGAAATACGACTGGTCAGTTTTGACCCATTTCCCGATTTTTCCCAGACATGGCAAGTTTTTTGTGACACCCCAGGCATTCTCCTACCACCTCACAAAATTTCAAGGGGGGTCGTCGGAGGAAATTTTTTTTCGTAATATAGCTCATATAATGAGAATTTCACTCGCGGTCACTTTTTAGCCCTCGTCGAGGGCTTTGAGTCAAACCGACAATTTTCCCTAAAGGTCAAGCCATTGACCTAAACGTAATATAGCCCATATAAGGCGCCGGTCAGTCGAGGTCAGTTTTGACCCCCTCTCCGTCGACTTTTCGGCCAACCGTCACCGGCCCTCGTGTTCTATCTCCCCAAGGCACCATCGTGCCAAATTTGACGCGCCTGCGGCGCCGGGAAGTGCCCTATCGGGCACCTGACTACTTTGCTTTATATATATATATATATATATATATATATATATATATATATATATATATATATATATATATATATATATATATATATATATATATATATAACTATATATATATATATATATAGTTTTATACATATACATATATATGTAGTTTTATATATATATATATATATATATATATATATATATATATATATATATATATACATAATACGAACACAGGATACTCATTTCTGGCCTGATCGGATTTTGAAAAAAAAATGTCTTTGTTTTTTGTTTTTTTTTCAATTAAAACAAATTGCATTCGTCTGTTTTGAAAATCTGTTTTATTTATGTTTGCCATAATACTTGCCATACTCTAGCCCAGGGGTCTCCAAACTACGGCCCGCGAGGTCCTTTTGTCTGGCCCGCACACACGGAAAAATTGTTTGAAAATGTAGTTTTGAGTGCAAATACCATGAGTTAAAACATTATGACTCAAATAGCGAAAATGCAATGGACGAATCGCTGGACAGCTGTTCACCTCTCAACTGCTTGTGTTCATTAGAATTAGAGGTATGATTGAAGACATGAACATAACACAAGAGCTGGCTTTCCTACATAACATGTATGGCACTGTTACTGGAGAGGAAATATGCAATGAGTTTAAGAAAACATTTGCTGATTATAACTTTGACTGGACTAACTTCAGTTTCCTGACTTTTGGAGGGGGGGGGGGGGAGTACACCAGTGGCATAAAGAAAGCCTTGTTTGGACAAGTGAAAGAGAAAAACATTCTAGAACCAATCTTTCTGCCCTCTATTATTCACCAGCAAGCCTTTGTGCTAAATATATGGACATTAGCAGTGTACTGAATCCTGTGGTGAAGATTTTTTCGAATTTAATAAGGTCACATTGGCTCAACCATAGATAGTTCAGTAATCAGAGACATGTTGAAAGATACAAACGCAGAATCGCAAGATTTACTATATTTCATAGCAGAAGATGGCCAAGTTGCGAGTAAGTTCTGAGCAGAGTATTTATGGTAAGAACGGAAATAGGTAGCATCCTGGAAAGAAAAGAAAAGCCACAGCCAATAATGTCTGATGAAGAGTGGGTAAAAAAATTGGCCTCTGTTGCAGACAAAACTAGTCATTTACATTTTCTGAGCCTAAAACTACAAGAGAGGGAAATCTAGTTTCTTATCTATACACCCACCTAAAGGCTCTTAGATCCAAACTTGTCATGTTTTTGGAACAAGTACAGGCCAACAGCTTGAAGCACTATCAGCAGTGCAAAGTCTTTACGGCTGAAGCAACCACTGAGTTCCCCACATCATTTGTATGCGAGATAATCAATGACCTCTAGCCGCAGTTTCAGTAGCGGTTTTCTGACTTGGATTCAAAGGCAAAAGAAGTGAGACCATTTCAAACCCATTTGAAGCAAATGTGGCCACTTGCAAAGATGAACTGCAGCTGGAGTTCATTAGAGATACGTTCACAGAAGGGCAGGTATGTTTTTATAAGTTTTTGCAAAAAGAAGACTTTTCTTATATTAAAACTTTTGCATCAAAGTACCTTTCAAATTTTGGGACAACATACCTGTGTGAACAAAATTTTTCAAGAATAAGATACGTGAAGAATAATTTGCGAGCAAACTTGGACCTCCAGTGTGTTGTCAGTTGCTGACTGTGTTTCTTTCAGATATTTTTCTCCGTGAGGGAGGCACTTGAAATTTGTATATATTTCTATATAAATTATATTTAGTTTTTTTTTTTTTGGGGGGGGGGGGGGGGGGGGGCTCCATAAAACCGAAGAGATGTCTTGAAGAAAGTATGTTATTTTATAGTTGATGCGGCCCTCGGGCTGAAAAGTTTGGAGACCCCTGCTCTAGCCGGTCAAAAGAATATAAACGTGTAAGCTTTGTTTGTGCAAGGGTTTCTCGTGTTATGTTTATTTTTATGGTTTTACTTTCTCGTATACAGAGTATAGAGCAAATATTGTAATCCCTGAGTCGAAAAAACATAGTTCCGCAATTTTTTACGTATGTCTCTGTGTGTGTATGTGTGTCTAAAAAACGATAACTTGAGTACCGTTACAGCTAGGTTGATGAAATGTCATATAGAAGTATTGGGTCTACGACAAATTCCCGAAAGACACTTGCCCGAATGCCGTTTGCCCGAATGCCGATTTCCCGAATGGACACTTGCCCGAATGCGACAAATGCCCGAATGGACACTTGCCCGAATGCGACAAACGCCCGAATGGACACTTGCCCGAATGCGACAAATGCCCGAATGGACACTTGCCCGAATGCGACAAATGCCCGAATGGACACTTGCCCGAATGGGACAAATGCCCGAATGGACACTTGCCTGAATGGGACAAATGCCCGAATGGACACTTGCCCGAAGGCCGTTTGCCCGAAAATTTTAACATTATATATTACTAAATAATCATTCGTAATCAATTTAAATTTAAAATGTTGGTAAACAAAACACATCTAAGCAAAAAGAAAGTGAAAAAAATAATATTATATATATTACCACGCAGATATTCTAAATTAATTTGCATTTGATATTTAAAAAGTGTAGAAACATACTTTCTCTTCCATATATGAAATTAGACAAAAATACAATTTTCATTCATCTCCGGATTTTAAAATGAGTTTTGCTTTCTTTATTAAGTAATCGCTTCAACACATTGTCTTAACAAGGCGCATTAAATGGAGATCAAACATATCTGACTACGTTTAGTTTTTAAATTCGCCGCCTAGACCTCGCCTCATTCTTTTATTAAATGATCACCACACAAGTTAAGCATAACAAGATAAACAAACGCGCCTCTGTTCAATGTTGCGAGACGCCGCGCCGCCTACGCCGTGTCATAAAAGCTATATAACCACCGCAACACCTCGGCTAAACAAGTTGTTCAAAACATACATCAAAAGAATGTTAGAACACCGCCGCCAACATCACCTTACATTTATTAAAGAATAAAGTTTTTCAAACAGCACTTTCCCAGTTTTGAAAAAAAAAATAATAATAGCTAAATTTAAAAATATAAACAACTTTGTTTTATGCTTAGAATTGTGTTTATAATCAAAATTTCAAACTTAAATTGATTAAAGAATGTCTATTTAGAAATATTATTTATTTTCTTATATTAACATTTTTCGGGCAAACGGCCTTCGGGCAAGTGGCATTCGGGCATTTGTCGCATTCGGGCAAGTGTCCATTCGGGAAATCGGCCTTCGGGCAAGTGGCATTCGGGCATTTGTCGCATTCGGGCAAGTGTCCATTCGGGAAATCGGCCTTCGGGCAAACGGCATTCGGGCAAGTGTCTTTCGGGAAAACGTCCGGCTCCCAGAAGTATTATATCAAATTTGTAGTTCTGTATCAACTTTTCAGCGATTTCCGATAACTGGAAGTGGAACTTACTCTGCTTTCAATATTTCAAAAGCCTATAACTTGAGTACTGTTTCAGATAAATGAAGGAAATTTCACATATAAGTAAAATATATCTTTTTATGCCTTCTATCTTCTATGCCTTGAGTAGTTTCCGTTGACCGGATGTAGTATTTACGTTATTTCCGATTTATCAAAACACGCATGTGAATTTATAAAGTACTAATAATATTTCGCACTATTATACACATGTTAGTTAGCGTTCACTTGGTGCGCAATTCTTTTTTCTACGAGATGTATTCTATTTTAAAAAGTATAAAAAGTATAAGTAATTAAGAATCATGTCTATATCACCCAAGTTTCCATCCCCCGTAGTGTTATATAAGAATATATACAAGCATATTCGAGAAAAATTAGGGGAGATCACTCCCTTTTTAAATTAATTTGTTATTATTAATTTTAAATACATTTCGTTTTGCCATTCTTTTGCCATAGTATGTATTTTTTTCAATACGGTGGGGGGGGGGGGGGGGGGGGCTGGCTTTCTTTGACGATGTGTGATGGGCGGAGAGGGGGGGGGGGAGGGAAGTAAAAATCGTCAAAAAAGCGTGACGTCATTTATGAAAGGCCCCCTAAACAAAAATAAGTAAACGTACATACAACCGAAACTTTTGTTATCATATTCTTTCTGATTATTTGTAGAATACAGGATAGTATAGAATAGTAGTTCTACCAATACAATAAAGTACATTTTATATTGTAAAATCACAATTGGTTGTGGGCCCCTAACCAACGCTATAAAGAAGCAAAAGTCGTCTTAATATCAAGAGGCCTCTTTTCAAAAGTAATTTTTGTTTACAACAGCGTGTGTATTATTGTAGAAGAAAGAGGACTCGGCTTTCACAATAGTTTAAAACCAAAGGGGAAAAGAATATACAAGACCGTGGGATGGTGTCTTTAGATTAAAGATAATCCAATCGCAGCTACAGTATTCTTTTTACAAAACATCCATCACGTCAAAAATGCAAGAAAATTCATTTCTTTAACTATAAAAAACTGTTTATGGTCGGCTGTGGGTCCCTTATTGCCGCCCCCCCCCCCCTGCTTTGCGGGCTCTGGCGGCACTGTAGTTCCGCCTCTTAAACGTCAACATATACACAAATGCAAACAATAATGCAGAAAATAATGCAAAAATTAACATGTACGGCCCTTGGCTCAGTTTAATTATTCGAATGTCGTGTGCCACCGTGTCAATATTGTAGGCTTCTTTTTAAAATGAACGAAGCCACCATAGTGCTCACATGATAGACCAGGGCACCAAATTGCACCATACCGGGGCGCCGGCGGGCGTGCTTTATTCAATTTAGTTAAAGAATATAATACCACATTTTATCGATGGACGCGCCTGATTCAATTTAATAAACAACTATAATACTATATTTTATCCATATTCTATCGCATTCTTTAAAAACGAATGTTTGAGCTATGGTGCTCACATGAAATAGCATCCTGCGGGGCGCCAGAGGACGCGCTGATTATATAGTCAACTATTATTGTCGCCATCGTGTCTTTAGATAGAACCTCTACCTGCTGTAATGTTAGACCTCTTTTTTTCTTCTTTAAAGTTTAAAAAAAAATTATCGGAAACTTTGACCTGCAACTTTTTAAATCAAAAGTAGGACAACCTTTTTGCTAATTGTTATATCAACGAAAGCTAGCCTCCGTATTAATGTAACATACTTTTACAACAATTCTGGATATTATTAGTTATATGCATTGTATGAGCGGTTTAATTATTAAGCTGGTAAATTATTTTTAACGTAAGTGTAAGCACAAAGCATCTTTGATGGTAGTAAAACAATACATAATCTAAGTGATAAAATAAATAGTCTAAGAGTCATACACGGCCTTTTTATAGCTTAGCAACGATATCTTTGTGATAGGATTGAGAAGATTAATTGTGCTAGTTTCTAGTGTGTTTGTTCCTGATAAGGCTTTTTTTAAAAACCAAACCATGAATCACACATCAAACGTTGGTGGCATGCTGCTTCAACCAGCTACAACTGTTATTTGCTGTAATAGGTTTTTGTTTTCTTGCAACACATGGAAATACAGCTACGCTGAAGCTGATGTTGTTGAAAAGGACACATCATGTCCATGCATGTATTTGCCCTCATTGTGGGTGTATTGGGAGATAACAAGGCTACAGGCTAGACTATCACAATGAACATTCTCTAATCTACACTGACTGTTGTAAGTTCTCGCGTGAAAAAATAAATTCTGTATAAGCACTGTACCCAGGTGCTAATACAAAACAAATGCAGCACTGTGCCTATATTTCAATGTACCTATCTTAAACGTATAGGTCTACCTATACTATATGTTACAGCATTTCTTCATACCATAGAGTTTCTTCAAAAATTAGTTACTCTAGTACTGTGCAATTTATTTTTACATTTATATCTACCTGCCTAGCTAGCTAGCTAACGCTATATACATACTCATCAGCTTTGGTAGAATTTTGTCACCCTTATAGACACACGCGCACACAAAAGAGAGGGAGAGATTAAAAGAGCGTTAATAAGCATGTATTTCTAGACGTGACCTTGTATTTTTTTTTAAACCGGTTATTTTTTTTAAAAATGTAAACAAAGTAGGCGCTGTATTTCTGGGATCATAGTTGTTAGGGGTCGGTCTACACTACCGCTCAGAACACCCCAAGAAAACTCGGATACCGAAAGGTGTCAGGGGCGTCGCGGAGGCACCGGTTGCACTACAGCGGGGGCGCCGGCTACGGCCCCTGGTTTGGTTTAATCATCAGATATCCTATGTCGCCTTGCCCCTATTGTGGGGTGTTTTATAAAATGAACGTTGGCAGTGGCGGAACTAAAAAAAAGGGCCACCCCGCAAAAAAATTATTTTGTAGACACCCCCTCCCATAGATAGATAGATAGATAGATAGATAGATAGATAGATAGATAGATAGATAGATAGATAGATAGATAGATAGATAGATAGATAGATAGATAGATAGATAGATAGATAGATAGATAGATAGATAGATAGATAGATAGATAGATAGATAGATAGATAGATAGATAGATAGATAGATAGATAGATAGATAGATAGATAGATAGATAGATAGATAGATAGATAGATAGATAGATAGATAGATAGTAGGGTTCTGCAAAAAAAATATTGTGTAATATTGCAAGGCCGGCGCCCTCCAGGGGGGGGGCGGCAATTTTATTCTCTATACAAGGTATATAAAAAAAAATCGGATGCCGTTCATCCGAGTGCCATGAAACTTTAGGGAGTAGATGAGAATACTCCCGAGAATATTTCTGCGAAAAAGAAAACTAAAGTTTCTTATGGGCGGCGCCATATAGGGTACAACTTTCGTCAATACACGGTTAAGCGCCCAGAGTTTTAGAGCGACTATGTTGGCACTTGGCATCCGTTAATCGAGTGTCCTGCATAGCGAGTAAGGGGTACTACTATATTCAGTGGTAAAACTACAACAGGCTTCTAAAAATAACTTTGTAACGAGAGGAAATCCTTCTGTACAGTTTCGTCACCTTGCGAAAGATGAAAAAATAACTTTTTGAATATGAGGAGCCTACTGTAGAGTTTCGTCACTTTGCGAATGATGCAATAAGCATCTATTATTAGCCAATCCAGTCAGAAATTGAGATCGAGCATCTAATAATAGACCATTAGTAACGCTAGCATATTGCATCAGTCACACTGATGTTTAAAACATGTCAAATACTTTTTTTACGTGTTAAAGAAAAAAAAATCCTGTTCATTTGTGTCACTTTAGGGAATGACGAAATCTGCATCATTATTAACAGGATGCTATTTGGCCGATGGCGCCTGTTAGTTTTAAGGAGCCAGGGGTCGTACGCCGCGCCTATGCGGTAGTGTAATTGGGGGGTGGGGGGCCTGAGAGCGCCCCTCTACGTCTCTGACAGAGGCGGTCACCGAAGTGTGTTCTACCATATTATTTCGGTGAGTGATTAATGTACACTCAATGTTTTCATGCGGTAGTGTAGGTAAACCCGTGTCCTGATATTTATGATCCAAGCGCAGGCATTTTTTTTACATTTAAATAACTCATTTTTAGAAAAGAAGGTCACGCGTCTAAGAACATATAATTATAATTGATAACGCGTTGGTGAAATCCTAATATATTTCGTCAAACTTTCTTCTATCCCCGCGGCAACGCGCGGGGGTCGGGTACGCTAGTATCTATTCTATTTATATAAAAAGCAATGCATGTGTGTTTGTCCTTTATGCATTACTACACCTCTCTTCACATCGCCGTGAAACTTTAGGAAGTTGTTGAGAATAGTCCTGGGGAGGTTTCTGCGGAAAAAAAAAATTCAAATTCGCAGGGTTGGCGCCCCGGCAGGGCGCGATTTGTTTTTCTCTATATACCGTATATAAAAATAAAAGTCGATTTTGGTTTGGCATCGTTCATCCGATCGTCATCAAACTTTGGTGAGTTTATTAGAAAACTATGGGGAAAGGTTTTGTAAAAAAAAAAATCATTTTTATTCCGCAAGGGCGGCGCTACGGGAGGGTGCTATTTTTTTCTATGTACGGTATATAAAAATAAAGTCGATTTTGGTTTGGCACCGTTCACCCGATAGCCATGAGACTTTTGGGAGTTGATAAGAACACTCTGGGGAAGGGTTCTGTAAAAAAAAAAAAACTTCATTTTTAATTTCCGCAAGGGCGGCCCCCCGGCAGGATGCGATTTGGCGCCCTGGTCTTTCCGGTGAGTGCTATGGTGACTACGTTCGGTCTAAACAGTGTGGTAGACAATGGATAAGACGGGGCGTTACACCGCCGGCGCCCTGGTAGGGTGCGATTTGGCTGCAAACAAAATTTTCAGTCTCGGCCCCCAAAGGCTCACATGGGCCGCTGAGGGTCATGTAATATGTTTTGTTTTAATAATCAGAAAAATTAACCAAGGTTAGATTATTAACTGTGATGTTTCTTTTTGTCCGTAAAAATTGTGTCTTCACTTTGCGAATGATGCAATTAACATCTATTTTTAGACAATCCAATCAGCAATTGTTAACAGGATGCTATTTGGCACTCTGGGTTATCCTATGAGCACGATGGCGCCTGTTATGTTTAAGGAGCCAGGGGCAGTACGCGGCGCCTATGCGGTAGTGTAATCGGGGGGGGGGGTGCTCCTGAAACCGCCCCTCTACGTCCCTAACACATGGACGGTCACCGAAGTGTGTTCTACCATATTATTTCGGTGAATGATTAATGTACACTCAGGTTTTCATGCGGTAGTTTAGGTAAACCCGTGTCCCGATATTTATTATCCAAGCGCAGGCATTGTTTACATTTAAATAAATCACGTTAGAAAACAAGGTCACGAGTCTAAGAATATAGGATTTTTATATTTTTTATATATTATTATATTTTTTTATATTTATTTATATATATATTTTTATATTTCGTCGGACTTTCTTCTAACCCCGCAGCAACGCGGGGGGGGGGGGGGGAGGGGTACTCTTTTATGCATTACTACACCTTTCATCCGATCGCCATGAAACTTAGAGAAGTTGTCGAGAATATTCCTGGGGAGTTTTCGGCAAGGAAAAAATTCAAACTCGCAGGGGTGGCTCCCCGGCAGGGCGCGATTTGTTTTTTCTCTATATACGGTATATAAAAATAAAAGTCGATTGCGGTTTCACAGCGTTCATCCGATCGCCATTAGACTTTGGGGAGTTGATTAGAACACTCCAGGGAAGGGTTCTGCAAAAATATCTTTTTTAATTTCGCAAGGGCGGCGCCTCGGGAGAGTGCAATTTTTCTCTATATACTGTATATAAAAATAATAAAAGTAAAATGGAGTGACACCGTTCACACGATCGCAATGAAACTTTGGGAAGATGTTGAGAATATTCCTGGGGAGGTTTCTGCACAAAAATCATATTTAATTTCGCAAGGGCGGCGCCACTGGAGGGTGCGATTTTTCTCTATATAAGGTATATAAAAATAAACGTCGATTGCGGTTTCACAGCGTTCATCCGATCGCCATCAAACTTTGGGGAGTTTGTGAATACTCACGAGAAGGTTTCTTGGGTGGAAGGGGGAGAGGGGGATTTAATTTTGCACGGGCGGCCACCGTCAGGATGCGATTTGGTGCCTTGGTCTTTCCCGTGAGCGCTTTGGCGACTACGTTCGGTCTAAACAGTATGATAGACAATGGATAGGATGGGGCGTTACAAACGCTCACTAAATTGAATCAGGCGTGTCCACCGGCGCCCTGATAGGGTGCAATTTGACTGCAAACAAAATTTCTGTTTCACCCCCCCCCCCCCCCCCAAAGGCTCACGCTGTAATATGTTTTATTTTAATAATCAGAAAAATTAACCCAGGTTAGATTATTAACTGGGATGTTTCTTTTTGTCCGTAAAAAATCTTTGCGAATAATGCAATTGGCATCTATTTTTAGACAATCCGATCAGAAATTGAGATCAAGCATCTAATAATAGATTATTAGTAATGCTAACATATTGCATCAGTCACACGGATGTTTAAAACGATTGCGGTTCGACACAGTGATAGACAATGGATAGAATGGGGCGTTACAAATGCTCACAAAATTGAATATATATATATATGTATAATGTTTAATGTTGAGATACACACAAATTATTAAATTAAGCTAATTGAGACATTTTTTTCACGAAGTGTAATCCCTTAAGAATGTAAAGATCTGTTTTAATGGCTAGCAATATTTTAAAATGATAAACATGAGAAACTTGTACTCTGTTACTAACAACTCAAACTTAATATTAGACAATTTTTTTTTCATTTTGTGGATCCTTAGTGGAGGTTCTACGACACTGCACACAAATTTCCGTAATATGTAAATTGACATAGATCAATACATGTACATAAGAAATTATGCATAATAATGTAACCATTTTTCTTGCAGGACCTAAGGTCAGATATTGAGTCTGAGATAAGTGGCAAGTTTAGAGATTTGACTCTTGCTCTTCTTGATCATCCTAGAATATTTGATGCCAAGGAATGTAATGATGCTATAAAGGTTATTCTTTTCCATCTGAATACATAGGTTTTACAATTTGTTAAAGATGAATATTACTATTATAGGTTAACTAACATAACCCTGCCAAAACATACCAAATAATCCACGATTTAAAATTATTAATTCAAAATAATTTGGTTCTGTTATGTATATTATTTTTGAACTAATATAAACATCTATGGTTTTTTTTTTTAATGTTTCCCTTTTGGCCCTGACAATCTATAGGGCAGATGAAGTAGAGTTAATATATTTTTTTTTAACACTGCATTTTTAGGGATTGTGTGGTTTGGAATAATGCCAAGCAGCCTTAACTTTCCTTAACTTAAGTCGGGTATCCATCAAAGCTAGATCGACTCCGTTACGTCTTACATTCTTGAGTCCAAGTTAGGAACTCAAAAGATATTCACATAGTCAAGCTCTTTGAGTTCAACCCCATTAGCAAAAGAAATAAGTCTGCTTAGTTTTTCTTGCATGTTTTTTGACTACTAGTTCGTAGAGTTTGACTCAAATTTAACATGAACAAAACCTAAGGTACTAAACAAAATTCCACTAGCAACGAATCTATTGAAATAAACAAGGTGAGGAAGTAAAATATTACACACGAGCCGGCCCGCGGCATAACATACGCCGCTATTTAGTTGTTTCTAATTTTCAATTATTCATAATTTGTGAATTCGACAGTACCAACGCTGACACTGAAAATATTTCTTTAAAACACTATAAGTAGCTCGTTAAGGACCATAACCCCCCCCCCCCCCTTCCTTCCCTCCCCCCCCTCCCCCCCCCCCCCCCTACGTTTAAAATCGTTGGCTCTGCTTGTAAACATTTAGAGTGAACACAGCTCACTAAAACCATGTAGGGATGGGGAGGTAGGGAGAGCGTTTGCAGCTTGTTTTCTAAGGGCTCGAAGAAGAGAATTATATATATAGAAGATATTTAGGCAGCATTGTTCACTGTAGAGAAGACTGTACCTCTGCAATTAAGACACTTATTTCTAAAGCCAGCCATCAAGCCGTTATAACCATGCAAAAAACATAGGGATTAAAGAAATCTATGTCAAGACCAAATCCTGACTATTTACAAGTAACATCTTAGACATTGATTTGTATGGCAATGAATGCTGGAAAGCAACCATCGCTACCATACAATCTATGTGTTCTTTCCTAAGTGCCTACAAAGAATAAAAAGCATCCATTAACCCAACACCATATTCAATTTGAAATAGAAATGAAAGTAATCAAAAATATATAATTCTCTTCATGGAGGGACCATGCGGGACGTCACGTATACGCACACCGCCCCCGCCTCTCCCTCGCTCTCAAGGCATTCTCAAAAGACCATATCGCTACCTCCCCCACCCCACCAGTCTTGTGAGCTGTTTGCAATCATAGAGCCGGGTCGAATTAGTGATGGCTATTAGGGGCAGACAATTTAGTTTTTAAACAATTTAAAACTAAGGGGAGCTAATAAACGGGTCTACGACGAATTCCCGAAAGACACTTGCCCGAAGGCCAATTTCCCCAATGGACACTAGCCCGAATGCGACAAATGCCCGAATGGACACTTGCCCGAAAGCGACAAATGCCTGAATGGACACTTGCCCGAATGCGACGAATGCCACTTACCCGAAGGCCGTTTGCCCGAAAAATGTTAACATTATATTTTACCAAATTATCATTCGTAATCAATTTCAATTTGAAATGTTGATACACAAAACGTATCTACGCAAAAAGAATGTAAAAAAAATAATATTATATATTACCACGCAGACATTTTAAATTAATTAGTATTTGCTATATAAAAAGTGTAGAAACATACTTTGTCTTCCATCTATAAAATAAGACAAGATACCATTTTCGTTTATCACAAGTTTTTAAAATGAATTTTGCTTTCTTTACTAAGTAATCGCTTCAAAACATTGTCTAAACAAGATGCATTAAATGGAGATCAAACGTATTTGACTACCTTTAGTTTTTAAATTCGCCGCCTAGACCGCGCCTCGTTCTGTTGTGAAATGATCACCCCACAAGTTTGTCATAACAAGATAAATCAAACAAGCGCGCCTCTGTTCAATGGTGCGAGACGCCGCGCCGTCTACACCGTGTCATAAGCGATATAAAACCACCGCAATACGTCGGCTAAACAAGGTGTTCAAAACTGGCATCAAAATAATGTCAGGACATCACCTTACATTTATTAAAGAATAAAGTTTTTTTTACAGCCATTTCTCAATTATGGAAAAAAAAATAAAAGCTAAATTTTAAAATTATAAACAGATTTGTTTTTATGCTTAGAATTGTGTTTATTATCAAAATTTTAAACTTAAATTGATACAGAATCTCTATTTGGTAATATTATTATCTAATATTAACATTTTTCGGGCAAGTGGCATTCGGGCATTTGTCGCATTCGGGAAAGTGTACATTCGGGCACTTGTCGCATTCGGGCAAGTGTTCATTCGGGCGTTTGTCGCATTCGGGCAAGTGTCCATTCGCGCATTTGTCGCATTCGGGCAAGTGTCCATTCGGGAAATCGGGCAAACGGCATTCGGGCAAGTGTCTTTCGGGAAAACGTCCGGCTCCCGTAATAAACAAGTTCTGCTGGATCGTTTCATTGTTCTCTGTGAACTGATAGTGTTTTATAGCAAAATATTTTCAGTCACTGCATTGGTACTGTCGAATTCACTAATTATGAATTACTGAAAAATAGAAAATAAAACAACTAAATAGAGGAGTATGCTACGTCTCTGGTCAGCTCGTCAAAAATATAGGACTACACTGGATGGGTAAAAAAGAAAGGTGGTGCTAAATGAGCCATCTATTAAGAATGAGAACAGATAATATTACAGGAATGGCGCTGAACTGGACGCCTCAAAGAAGAAATAAATAGGGAAGACCAATCGAGATGTGTAGTAGCATAGTGGAAAAAACAACTCACAAAGACAGGAATATCTTAGGAAACTTCAAAGAAATTTACCAGAGATCTTCAAAAGTGGAAAGAGCTTTTTTTGGCAACCCCATGTGTTCCAGGCGCTGAAGGGAAAAAATAATGATTATGAGACGAACTCACAATCACCCAACCTGCCATCCCAGACATTTTATAATAACTAGAGAATTATTTAATGCTTCAGTAGATAAACTCATTAAACTCCTTAACTTTGATATATATTTTTTGTTTAGGGTGTTGGTACAGATGAAGATGCACTCATTGAAATCCTTAGTAGTCGCAGCAATGCAGAGATAGCAGAAATCAGGGCACAGTACAAGGCTTGTATGTACATTTGAAAATGTTCATTTTTATTACCACTTCTAGCTTGAGACTAATTTTACTAATTTTATTTCTTAGTGTACAAAAGAGAACTGGAGCGTGATATTCAAGCTGATACTAGTGGTCATTTTAAGCGCCTTTTGACTTCATTGGTGACAGGAGGAAGAGAAGTGGATCGACCTCAGGCTGATGTAGAGCTTGCGAAGAAGGAAGCTCAAGAACTTTATCAGGTATCATGATGACATTTATGGCATTTCCATTCTCATTTACCATGCTGTATATTAAATTCATCATTGACACTGGCTATAATTTTCAATTGAACACTAAGTTACATACAGTTGAAAATATCAGTAGTCAAGACACTTATTATAATATTTTTATTTATAGCATGATATATTCTATTCATATAATTCTTTGATGATCCAATGTATAATGAATTTACTATTTCTTTCAGGCAGGTGAAAAGCAGATGGGCACAGATGAATCAGTATTTAACCGCATATTGTGCCTGCGTAGCATAATACAATTAAGAGAAACCTTTAATCAGTACAAAGCCATTAGTGGAAAAGATATTGAAAAATCCATTCAAGCTGAAATGAGTGGTAATCTTGAATTAGGCTGCATGGCTATAGGTAGGATTCATGTATTGAGAATTTGGTTTCATCATACACATAAGCCTATATTGTTAAGTAGCACAAGTAGTCTGATAATTCCTTGGGAATTTAAAAAAAATTCATTTGCTCTTTGAAGAAAGCCTAACAATGATCTAAATTAATTATTTTTGCTATAGTATATGTCACAAGCTCAGTTAGCCAAATTAATTGAAAATTGATACTCACATATCCATGTTTAAGAAACACTGTCTACTTGTTTTAAACATTTTATTTAAATACGAGTGTTCCTGTCATGCGTTGCTGCGATCTATTCCTACACGCTTTAAACAATGGGACATTTTATAAGAGTTTCTTTAACACGTTGTCAATTGTGTAATTGTTTACTAAAATTAATAAAAAGTCTCAGGAATTAACACTTCTAAAGATTTAAACAGAAAAATCAGTAAAAACACTTTCAAAATCTAATCTATAATAATGTTCATGCTTCTGTATTATTCATCAATCACTGAGGTGTTCAAATTGAAATTCTGTTTTTTTTTACTCTAAATATGCATTGTTTCAGACACATATTTAACTGCAGGTAATATTTAAAAAAAGATATTAGTTAACTTGATGTACTCAAATGATAAATCCTTAACTTCCCTTCATAAACATGTGTATATATATATATATATATATATATATATTACTTGTATGTGTTTGTAAATTGGAAATGATCTTACAAACACATGCAGTCTATTATATTATAGCACTTAAGTTAATTGTGTTGCAATGATCCACCTAGTGCACTACTCTATCTTTGTTGCACCAGCAAGCAAAACTTTAAAATATTTTTTATGGCACTCTGATAAACTGTGTCGAACTGCATCCAAAGTTATATGGCGAAAAGATGAAACGTGTCAAACCACAATCAGCATTTATTTTTATATAGCTTATATAGAGAAAAAAAATCGCGCCCTGAAAACTGAAAGGGCGCCACCCCTGCAAATTTGATATTTATTTTTCACAGAAACCTCCCCAGGAGTATTCTCAACAACTTCCCAAGTTTCATGGCATAAAAGAACGACGAACAAACACACATACATTGCTTTTTATATATATTGAAGATAGATGAAAGCAGATTATGACATGAATTTATTTACCATGACATTTGTTACAGAAGATGTTTCCTGTCCAGACTGTATTTACATATTTCACGCCAACGTCCAAAATTATTTCTGCTACAAATTTTTTGTTTTTAAATTAGTTAGACTCAACAATGTCTCTTTTTTTTAAAAGCCTACTTGACATATGAACATTTGGTTTGAAGCAATTTGAACCAGATGTTCCCTGGGACCCTTGTTAAAAAAAAAATTGAGCCAAACTATTTCAACCAGCACAACAGGCTTGACAACTTACTTCATCCCAATTAGTGCCTACATAGCTTATTTAGGGTATTGGTTTATGAACTTCAGTATCTTTTCAAACAGCTTGTACACTAGGTTATTAGAAAAATATTAAAGGCATACATTTTTTGTCTTGGTTTTAAAACATTAAATTTGTTTAGTCTTCAATTTAAAAAAATTAGAAGTTTTAGAAGTAAAATTTAGTCATTTATCAGTTAAATCTTTCCAATATTCAGTTCTTTTTTTTGTCTTACATTCACAACTAGTAGTCATTATTTAGAATGTAGAGTGGATGTTATCTTTATTACTTCGTCCTTTACTTATTGAAAAGGTCTTAAATAAAACCCAAACAAAGCGCACTTCCTGTATGCTCTCTAGTGTTATCTATTTCATTCATGACCATGATTAATACCTTTCTATCAGTGTTGTAATATGATAGTCTAGCTATGCAGTCACATTTATTTTCACCATGGACTTTAGTTGAAAATTTCAAGAGACAATTAGGAAATGTTTTAATGGAAAACAAAATATGTAGCTTTTTTCTATCAATTTTTTTATTGGTTTTCAAGCTTATGAAGCAATTTTTCTTACAAACTGATTGACTGTTTCAATGTCTAAACAACTTTCTAATAATAACATTTTTGTTTAATAAGTTCAAGTTGCCAAGAACCCAGCAGCATTTTTTGCTAGCAGACTGCATAAATGTATGAAGGGAGCGGGAACCAATGATAAAGCTCTCATCCGTGCTGTCGTTTCTCGCAGTGAAGTAAGTCTACTTTTTTATTTGGAGTATCCATGTATTGAGTTTTGTAATAATTTTCTCATGTTTTTTACATTAATTTCATCAGGTGGACATGGCAGCTATTAAAAAAGAATTTCAGACTATGTTTGGGAAGTCTTTGTCCAGCTTTATTGAAGGCGATACTAGTGGAGACTATAAAAAAATGTTGCTTGCTATCGTGGGAAAATAAAAAGAAATCCAAAAACCTACTGGTTGTGTATAGAGAATATTTTCAGATTTAAAAATTAATTAAAGACATTATTTAATATGCAGTATGCCTACTTTTAAAAACTTGTAAACATTTTTTATTTCCATGGATGTGTAACAATTTGAAACAGATTGTATTTTATGTATGAAAATTTTAACTCTACCATGTTGTATTAACAGCAGCAAAATGCAATAACTATGGAAGTTGCTCTTTAATTACTACAAAAAAGTTCAATCTTTTGCCAACTACTATGTCACAACTTCACTGTAGAATTTAAAAGGTTAAAACATTGTTATTTTTCTAGAAAATTTAAAAAATGCTACATCTGTAGATGATTGAGGAAAGGTCATCTAAAAATGCTTATAGTTATAGCACTCAATTAATTTAAATTGCATTTCTTAATTAGCTCTGTATGTTTTTTTATGTCTATTTTTTGTACCTATTCCTATTACAATGGTACCACATAGAACCAAAAAAAAAAAGCTCAGGCCACAGAAATTGTGACATATTTAGAGGAAAAATTAAGCCTTTTAAGTTGCTTTATCTTCCAGGCATTATAACCAATTGGGATTAACTGTTTAGATTATAATAGGAACAGTCTGCATGGTTACATAGTGTATTTCTTCCATGCACCACCTTCATCCCCAGATCAAATTATTTCCCATGTCTTAAAAAATAATTAATTGAACTGTCTGAAGTGATTGATCAGCTCTATCAGGTACCACTGTAAAATATTTTTTTAAAATATATTACATTGTGCACAGTACTAAATTAAAATATCAGTGATTATGTAGTAAGTATATGCTTTACTTATTTTTGTGATTGCAGAACATAATTTCAAATTACTTATTTTTGTGATTGCAGAACATAATTTCAAAATATATTTTGTGCTTTATAAAGCTTTTTTTTATTGATAAGGTTTTTGTAAAATTCTTACAACAGAACATTCCAAAAAATATTTTAAAAAACATTTAATGTGTTTTACAGTAAACTTCACATTTATTTTGATCACTGTATGCTCATGTCAATTATCTCAACTGTTTTTATCAGTTTTGAAATTTGTTAACAATGACCCATTAGGGTAGCAAGATACTAATAGAAACAAGACTAACTAGACTCATATTTGTGACAATTCAAATTAATTTTTTGTATATGTTTATTTTCACATAGCCTGCTTATGATAATTAGCAATAAAAGCTTGCAAAGCTAACTTTGTTTTTATATACTTGATTTTAAAATAATGTACATTCTTTCCCTTTCTCTCAAAACAATCTAGTCATGTCAAAACAGTAGGCTATATGAATTCACAATCTAAAAAAAGTATAATAAAAAACAAAGGTTTTTATTCATGCACTGTCTTGAGCTAATGCTCTAAATTAGTTTTTCACAATGTTACAGCAAATATTACCTTTTGGTACCATTACCTAGTGCAAAAAAAACCTTACAAAGTGTATCTAAACTGCTTTTTGTTTAGAACAGGGGTCTCCAAACTACGGCCCGCGATGTCCTCTCATCCGGCCCTCGGAAATCTTTTTGTCCACGGAAAAAAATGTTTGTTGGTGATGGCTGAGGAACTTTGCCCAGAAAAATCAATGACATGCCTGAAAGACCTGGCCCCCGAACTAAAATTTGATAGTTAATGCGGCCCTCGGACTGAAAAGTTTGGAGACCCCTGGTTTAGAATATTATTTACAAATTTTTTTTTTAATAATGTAGTTTAAGTATTGAAAGTTCCCCTTTCAGTCCATATGCAGAGAAAGTGAAACTCATCTATTTATTTTACCATTGAATATGAAACTTTGTGAGCTGACCAGGCTCTTAAGTTTAATGACTCCTGTTTAGTAAAGGTGGCTGATCATACTAAAAGTGCTGACCACACTAAAAGGTTTAAATTTGGATCCTGGACATCCAGGATCCAAACTCAAAACTTTTGGGTTAACAGTTGTGTATTATAGTCTCTGGCTATGGCGTACCACATAAAAACTAATTAAAAAAAATATTTTATAGAAATCTATATAAAATACATATCCAAATTAACCATTAGTATATTTTATTAATAAACACTGCAGTTCTTTTCATTGTTTATAAAGGAATTTAAGTTTTAAAACAGCAGAAGACATTAATCTGTTTACAAACAATACATTTTTAAAAAGTAAAAATATAGAGTGACAAAATTTGTATTAAAAAATATGTAAACAATATTTCTTTAAATCAGGTCCAAAACTAGCGTGTTGTTTCACCACTATTGGTGCATGGATTTTGCATGTTTACATTGACAGTTGGTTTACAAAAAATCTATTTTATATCCAAGTTTTTTTTTATTGATCCTGAATTGTCATGCCATCATTTTGTTCAGCAATTGTTTCACTTTCAATAATTCTTTCTCTATCAGGCTCTTTATGGTGTCTTTTATTTACCTGTTTCTGTATTGAAAGAAAATTTCTTTTGGTTTTTCTACAAAGGAAACAAGCAAACAGTATTGAAGCTGGGATAACACAAATAACTGGTAAAATGCCAAATAAGCATATCCAAAAGATGAGCCGTGGTTGACATTGAGTAAATAATTGTTCTTCTGTTGCTTCTTTTCTATCTTGAAACTTGACAACAACATCTTTTTCTGATTGCCATGGAAGATAAAACCTGCACTCAGTATCACTTGGAAAAGTGCACTGTCTTTCAGCATTTTCCACACTGAAGTGAGTACGCATCAAAGAACCATTTAAACTGATAACAGGTTCTCGCATATGATGCTTGGATGTTACTTTACAGAAAAGCACAAGATAATAATAATCATTACTGAGTATTGTTTGATTAAGTCTACCACTATTTTTTTCATGAATTTCTTCCTTACATTTGGGTACAGAAACCATCTGTAGTGTACAAGACTGACATAAGCGGTTTTTACGCCACTTTTTGAAGTTATCAGCTCCTAATTTTGGAAAATCAATAAAAGAGTATTTAAACTACAAATGGTGAAAAAAAACACCTACACTATATTATCTATACTATCACGATAGAAGTTTTAAATATATATACATATATATATTTATATATTTATATATATATATATATATATATGTATATATGTATATATATGCTATTGTTAGATAACTTTTGTAAGTCAATCTTTACAATTTATTGTTAATAATCCTCTGTTAAGCAATTTAAATTTTAATGGCATGCACTTTGTAGCACTAGCAATTAACCATGATGTAATATAATACCTTTTATCAATATAATTTCAGCATTTTCTCGCTCTGAAATTTCGTTATTCTTGCAAGCAACAACATCAATAGTAGATCCTTCTAGCAAATAAAAACTTTTTACGTTATATTCTATCTCTGAGTTAAAATGCATCGAGATATTTCTCAAGTCTATGTTTGTTTTATTAACTACTGCATGCACTGGAAGAAAATAAGCTGTTCCTTCTCCTGATTTAATTTGTAGCTGGAAAAGGAGAAACAAATTAAGATTTACAAAATTATAGTATAGTTTGTAGTCAGTGGTTCTAATAAAAGAACATTTTTATAAAAGTACCCTTTAACATGGGACCTGTGTGACCTAGCGGTAAAGCTCTAGACAGATAACCCAAATGTTTCAATCTGGGTTCAAGTAAACAGAGCGTCCCTGAGTGCACCCAGCTCTGACGGGTATCAAACTCACATTAGGGAAAGTCAAGGCAGTTGGGGGATAGAGTCTTGTGCTGACCACACTATCCCTTCATATTTCACAGAAATAAATGAACTCTACTTCACTTTTGAAATGGGAACCTTACCCTTTTAAACATTTTAACCAAACTAAGAATTTTCTTGCTTACAAAAAAGTAATACATTTTTGCCAGTGTAAATTCCTTTAGTAAATAATAATCATCCTTATTTCAGAATATATTTACCTTATAGGAAGAACAAAATGTTGCAGACATATCACTTGACATTTCATTCATGGCAACTTCATCCCCTGACTGGAGACTTATCACATTTTTACTGAATCTGTGCGCATATACATTCCAACCTGACATCCCAAATATAACAAAAACAAGGAGTGTGACACCAACACTTAAACCAACACACAACCATGGTCGTCTTTCCTCTAAGTTCACTTGTCGATCTGCTGGTGGAACCAATGAGGGTCGAAAACCTTTTGTCATTTTAAATCACAAGTCTGTAGATGGGACAGTTAAAAAAAAGTAATTTGCAAAATTACATTGATATGTTAAGAAAATAGTAGCAGTTTGAATGAGAAAGCCTGGGAAAGGATCAATCATCCCCTTCTTCCAGCAGCTTCCCTCCCCCCATATCTAAATTTAAGATATGTATTCTTATCTTACTTATAACCTAGTCACCATGAAAAAATGTTAGTCCAACAGGAAGCTAGTTATTTTAAGCATCAATTTTATTGTTAGTAAATACCAAAGCAAGAATTGCAGCAAATCGTTAAAAGACTACAGAACTAATGCTACAGACAATCCATCTTTGGTAATTTACTTGTTGAAATGTGTTGAACCAAACGTATGCTAGCAGTAGCACTAGTATAAGTAAGTAAAAAAAAAAAGAGTATTAAATTCTGAGTTTCTTTTTTAATCATCTGAATATAACAATACTGAAAATATTAAAAGTTATTTTACCTTGATAGTAAAATACTTTGATCTGGATTCTTTTACTTGTAAATGTAAAATTTGACATATGATATCAGAAATCTATTATAAGTTATGATTTTTCACTTATCACTGATCTTTATCTTTATTTTTTTTAAATGACTTAGCCTAAATATAAGCATTATGGTCTACTAAAATGTTATCAAACATATTATCTAAAATGTAAGCCTTCTGTTAAAGTGTTACCTACTTGGGTAAAATATGATATTGCACATCTATACAATGACTCACATTTGCTACGCTGTTGGCATAACTTAGTATTACATGTGTAAATTCTTATTCTTATCATTGGTTAAAAAGTAATAAATTCAAATCAATTATCTAGAATTTTATAAAATTAAAATGCACATTATTTTTCTGAAATTGTGTCTTCTAGTGTCAGTGATGCATTAATAAGCAGCTGTTAATCTTTTATTTTTATTACACCTGTTCAACAAATCAAATGGAGAACAAACACATTTATTAAACATTAGAATAAGTAATAATTAGTAAGAACAAGCGCGTCGCTAGGTCGGGTGTCACCCCCCCCCCCCCCACCAAGAAAAAAGTATATATATATATATATGTGTGTGTGTGTGTTTGTGTCAGCCTACAAAGGCACATGTATGTGAATAAGCTTTAATCACTGCAGACTTAATAGCAATGATTTTATCTATAGTTTGTTAATAATATAGTTGGGTGTGGCATTGTTTACATCATGGTGTTACCCCACCCTCTTGTCATAATTGTAGATTGGTACTTAAAAGACTATTTAACACTAATTAATTTTAATGGAACTGGCAAAAAGAACTTTTCTTCTGTACATTTTGCAATTTTTTGCCTTGGTGTCACCCGGTGTGGTCCGCACCCTCTGCCCCACCCTCACTACGCCTATGAGTAAGATTTAGGCAGTTTGTAACAGAAATGGAGCTATTGCTTGCAAACTTACAGTCTCATGTCAAACTGAAACTGTCTTTCATTAAACAATTAAATGCACGAAACCATTAGCTGCATTTTGTAATATTTAATTCTAGCTACTAGCTTGGAACGGTGTGGTCTAGCCAGTAGCATATGCAGGGGAAAGCAGGGGGAGCGGCCACACTCCCTAAGACCATTGTAAGGATAGTGGCGCCTTTTTCAGAGAATAATTAAATAACATTTTAAACAAGTTCCTCAAAACACAAAAATCAACAACAAAGGAAAACAAACTGAAACTATGAATCAATGAATTCAAAACTGTCATGTTATGTACTCTAAATATCACATTTTTAATAACTCATCGCAAGTGTATGTCCAGCCTACTTCTTGGCTTACTTATTGGCGCCTAGCTCAGCGCCAGGCATATGCGAGGCGCTTTTTTTGCCACATTGTCCACTTAAGCATATGTACTTCTGCGGTTTGTGTTATCCCTGCTGTATATAGAACGTCAACCACATACAGATTGATCTTAACTCACAAGTGTAGTCTTTGCTTGAGTTGTCAGGCTAAATTCAGCCATCCTTTTTTTTATGCGGGAGGCCTATTATCTTTGGGTTATTGTTTACCTAAAGTGTGCCCCATAAAATACGATTTTGCTTATCTTGATTATGTCAATACTAGCAGGAAAGGAAACTGCAGGTCCCTTGCCTGTCAGCTGATCTAGAATATTTTCCAAAGGCACCTTATACAGATGCCCTCATTTTTAGATGGATGGTGTAAAAAAATCGATGAAAATATATGGGGGGAGGGGGGGGGGGAAGGGAGGAAGCTGAATAAATGTACACAAAAATAAACATTCTCACACATCTTCAAGAACGTTAGTATGAGTCAAGACTATCGACACGAACATATGTACTTAATAAACATATACTTTATTGTCTGTGATTACTGTGAATGGAAAAAAGTCACAGTAAAAAAAACACACAGAAAAAAAGTCAGTTTTTGCTAGGAAAAAAGTCACAGAAAAAAGTCACAATGGAAAAAAGTCACAGAAATAGAGTCACAGAAAAAAGTCACAAAATTATTTTCAGAAATATTTTGATTTATTTATTAAAAATTGTAAAATTTTGTATGTTTATTGTTATGGGTTGTATTTTTTGATAGCATTTATTAATTATGGACGTTAAAAGAATTATGTTTTATAACTATTGTAGGTAAAAAAAACCACTCAGATAATTTACCACAACAATCTCAACTTTTGTTACGTATTTTGTTAAATACACGGTAGAAAAGTTAATTATAAAAGAAATTTAGGCATATTATTGTGTTTTGCATATGTTTTGCCGTAGGCTATTCTCTGGTCAGCCTCTCCTTAGTCGGCCTTGTCCGAACATATTGTGTGATGTTGATGTTGTGTGTCAATGACAGCCTTTGAACCTTGTCGGATTTCTGTTTAATCATAAGTTTTGTTATGTAATGCGCGTGATAAATGTGGGCAGTAAATGTGGTTGAACTAAGCATAACTATTGTTGCGATGAGTTGAGGGCAGCAAGTCAGATTAACTTACCATTTCACGGTAATTTAAAGTTGGTATTTTTAAAACAAGTTAATAAAAAGTCTAGTGACAATTTAAGCCCAATTTCCTTGTTATCCATAACAATTTTAAATCGAGATAAATCATAGCTCCTCCTCCTTCGCCTGCGTCTCGCGCAGTTCGCTGCTAAGCCAGCCAGGTTACATGATTTACCCTCCTTTCCTTCGCCTTCCACTGCCTTTTTTGCTATATAGTACTGTAATGTATTATGTATAATGTAATTTTAAATAATGCGGACGTGTAGGGGGTGTTTAGTTGTCGCGCTTTTAAAAAAAAAATTGTGACCGAACGAAAGGATATTTTTGAAAACTTTCTTCAGCAATATTGTTCTAAATTATGGCAGGAATCGATTGGTAAATGTTTCAAGTCGCTAAGTGGTCTGGTTGCCGAGATATGGGCCAAAAACTGCATTTTTTCGAGGTTTTTTGGCTTTTCCGGGAAATCCAGGAAGGAAACCCGGGAATTTTTTTGGCCCACAATCATCCTCGGAACTTGCTTAACATATTTGCTTTGGAACTAGTCCTCGATATTGCTTCGTTCAGGAGGAGATACGACTTAAAGCTGCGGACACACATCCATCCATCCCTCCACGAGTTAATAAACGCAATTCTCCAGAATGGAAATTGCGCTAAAAAACACGATAAAAACCGTGGACTTTGGAGCATTCCATTAAATGCTGTTTATATTATGTTAAACATAATAATGATGTACATACATCATACTAAGTATTTAAGATGAATTATAAAAATTACTATGCGTATACAAACTACACACATTCCATTACATTTAAGTTAATTTGCACTCTCTAAATATTTAATACATAAAAGTATTAACAAATTTCATGCAAATATATATTTGTGACTTTTTTTCCTGGGACTTTATTTCCTGTGATTTTTTTCTGTGTGTTTTTTTTTCCTGTGTTTTTTTTCCTGTGACTTTTTTTCACAATCTTATTGTCTCAGGTAAATTTAGTTAAAATAATATAAAAACACTGTGGATAAGAGTATAACTGCCTCCAACTCAGTGTTCTTCCAGACTTTTTTCTCCGGGGGGGGGGGGGGGGGACGACTTGAAATTTTCGGGGGGGGGGGGGAGCGGTACACTTTCTTTGGTGGGGTGGGGGGCAGCGGACACTGTTAAAAGTATATATTTTCTATATATAAATATATAAATTTCATTTCGTTCAGGGGGGGCGGTAAAAATTTTTCAGGAGGTGCGAAGCCCCCTCGAAGAGATGCCTTGAAGAAACCCTGCTCCAACTAAAGTTGTTTATTTTACACAGTCAGAATCATAGCTTTTGAAACCAGTCAAACTGTGTGAATCATTTTTTTTTAAATTACCAGTAAAGATGTGAGTGAACAATAAAGTGATCAAACCCATACATTATCATTATGTTAAAAATAATCTTTAAAGAACACAAAAAGCAGTAGCTAATTAAAAATGTAAAAATCTTAAATGCAAAACCAATAAATAAGTTGTTTTATTAATGTATACAATAAACAGAATTGTTCTGTATAAGTTACTTAAAATTTTTACAATTTTATATCAACTCCTCTTTTACAAACTTTTTACTTTCTCGTATATACAAAGTAGGCTATAGAGAAAGTCTTGTAATCGTGCAAAAAAATATTATATTGAATAGTTAAGAAATTATTGATCTGGTTGATTTTGACAGTTACAATCAAACATGTATGCCTTTACATATCTATATTAAGGTGCCCTGTCAAAACGGCCCCGTCAAAACGACCCAGTCAAAATAGCCCAGTCAAAAGGGCCCCGACTTATTGGCTCCCGTCAAATGGGCTCCCGTTATATTGGCTCGCGACAAATGAGCTCCCGAAATTTAGGCTCCTGATAAATGGGCTCATGACATATTGGCTACCAACAAATGGGCTCCCAACATATTGGCTTCCAACAAATGGGCTACCGACAAATGGGCTCCTGACATATTGGCTCCCGACATATTGGCTTCAGACAAATGAATGGCATGACCACTATTGGCATAAAAGTAATCATTTTGTCCTACCTCCACTACTACTATAACCTCTTTTTAATGCCTGAATGAAATTGTTTTTCATGAACCAACATCAATTCACAAACAAATCAAGCCCTTAACAGCTAAAATCTACCAATTCTAAAATTTGGATAATGTTTAATTTACAACAGTAAAGATCTGTTACATAAAAGCGAGCACAGAAGTGAAAATATACGATATACATGATGTTTACAGAATAACGACATTTTGTTTTGATAACCTACAAGCATACTAGAGGTAGGAAAGTACAGCGTGGACCCTTCTCCCCACACACTGAGTTGGAACCGCCTATAACCGACTCAATTATGGAAGTCATAGATAAATGACCCTTAATTTAAAACATACTATATTTTATAATAGATAAACTAATATAAAAAAATAAGGCCTGCTGAACAAGAGATGCATACGTTGTATTACTTAAGAGTGTTGGATAAGCTAACTCAAGAAAATTGATGAAGGGGTCCCACTGGCAGGTGTCATATTCAATGAGACAGCTTTGCCGGGAGACTTAGTCTCTACAGAAACGGTATTGTCAGTGGTCCTTTTGTCTGGAGCCAAATAGACAGGAGCCTTTTTGACGCTAGCCTACTTGTCGGGAGTGGTAATGACGGGGGCCGTTTTGTGGAAAAAACTAAATGACGGGAGCCTATATGTCGGGAGCCAAAATGACAGGAGCCTATTTGTCAGGAGCCTTATTGACTTGAGCCCTTTTGTTGGGAGCCTATATAACGGGAGCCTATTTGTCGGGAGCCTAAATGACGGGAGCCTTTATGACGGGGTCCATATGTCGCTGGCCATTTTGACGGGGTCCATTTGACGGGGCTCTTATGTCAGGGCCGATTTGTCGGGGTCGTTTTGAAGGGGCCGTTTTG